ATGCCAACAACTCCCCTTTGATCATTTATAGCTCATCTAAGATTAAGCCTTCAAAATGGAGTGGTATTTCAGAAAATCAAAATGAAAAAACCAAAACTAAAACCATCAATAAGATACTGAGTCTGAATAGGATCACGGACATGTAAGATTTAGTTGTAACTGCTCAATATTCATTGGGATGGGTGATGGGACAGGTTGTAAAAATTGTGATTAGTTGAGCTAAACCATTGGCTGGCCTTTTTCGAAAACCTAGTTTGTGGATTTTGCATTCCAAACCTTGGTGTGATCAGCACCAGCAAGGTAGGTACACATTGTTCCCCCTCGGTGCTTACAACATGTCTCTTTTGGGAGGAAGCCTTGCAAAAAAAAAAAAAAAACTGACCTCAAAGAAAAGCATTTTGTTCTTTAAAATATGCCATGATTGAGGCTAGCATTTTGAAAAAAAAAAATCAAAAGTTGAAATAGCACTTGCTGCCACAACGAACTGTGAGTCAACCGATCGAGGAGCTCAAGAAACGCTTCCTATTGCACTGTACAAGGACTCAACGTATGAAATTTACAGGGTATTTATTCATGACAGTGTTGCTGTAATTGTTTTTCTTTTGTGTGTGTGTGTGTGTGTGTGTGTGTGTGTGTGTGTGTGTGTACATTCACCCCTTAATTTGTGATATATATTTGTGATTCAGGAAATCATTATCAATATACAATAAATGAATCAGTTATGTATGCTTAAATTTGAAATTGTTTCTAGTCGTGAAGATACAATTTTTGTTTTTCTAGTGACAGATCTCTGCCAAAATATTCTGCCAAAAATAAATATTTTTTCATCCACTTAGAGAATAAGCTCTGTTCTACTCTTTTGTGCAAGATGCTCTAAACCAGGAAAGACAGAAGACTCGATGTGATTTTATAACAACCTCCTCCTCTGAACATATTGATAGTATTGTACTACCAGTAAAGAGTACCATTCTCCAAATTACAACTCTAACGGTAGTCCAAGGGTGGATGCAATGCGTTATTAGATGCAACAAACAAATATATTAATGGAATAGATTTGATGCTGGCCCACTTAAGTGAGTTATGCTTTTTTTTTACATTTACTAGATGAGCATTTACCACAAAATTTGTGAAATGTTATTTTCATAAATGCCATTAAAGCATCTTTCCATATAGTATCATGTTTCAATTATGTCATCACTGCACTAGCTATATTAAAGGTAAATCTCAACCAAGATGCATGTACACCAAGTCATGAAAACATAACTTATTTGACTATAGAAAAATCCTATGTAAGCATATGCGCTGCAAATAAAGCAAATACCGTACACCTGATTAGTAAAAGAAATACTGTTTTATTTTGACAATAGCGACACTTCAGTAGTAAATTATGTAAACAAGACTTGTACCAAAAGTACAAGTATAAGCAAAACAAAAGTAATGAGGGTGTGCACCCTACTGCTAGTACACGAACATGGTTATGAACTTTTTTATGAGGGTAAAAAAAAAATGTGTGTTCTACCCAATTGTCAAAACTGACCATTATGGTTTTAAATCATTATACCTAGTTGTGGATAAGTGTTGTTATGTTTATATGTAACATATTTATTTTTCTCTTAACTTATTTTGTAGACATGTACTAAAGAAAAGATTACATCATTGTTAGATTTTGGAGAAGCCTTGGCAGTTGTTGGGAGAAATCAAACCACGTTTTTAACATTGCCAATAGAAATACTTAGAGTGGTTATAGAAAAAGCAAAAGAAAGTGCGTGGCATATGACATTGTGTATATAAAGTCATCAGATAAAGCCAAAAAAAGTTAGTTATTATTTTTGTATTTATTTTGATAAGGGAAATTTTTTAGTTTGGATTTAAAAAAATGTTGAAGCAAGTCAACTGGAATGTATTAGTATAAATATACATTTAATGTACAATACATTTATAATGCACTGGCTTTATACCATGCTCTTGAAAATACAGAACGGACACCAATGCATCAAGAATAAAAATAACTTCTATATACCACAAAAATGCATACTAGACGATGCCAATAGCGCTCCATAGCAAATGACCAGGCAATTTTATACACCTCAAACTCAAAAAAACTGAGATAAAATATATCCAAACAGTACTCTACAGCCAAGTGTTTTTTTACTCCCATGTGCGAAGCACACAATGGAAGTCTTTGCAGTTAGTGTGTCTGTAAGTTTGTGTGTGTATATGTGTCTGTTCCACTGCTATCTCAAGAACCATACATCAGTTTTTGATGAAACATGGTGCATAGAGGCTCTGGGCTAATGCGCAGATTTGATTAGTTTTTGGTAAACATACGTGCATAATAATTACCTAATTTGCATGACAATTATCTAATTTTTAGCTGTTCCATGACTGTTCCACTGATATCTAAACAACCAA